TTTCGCACCTACAATGGGCCTTGATGCCTTGGATTCTGGAGGAGATATCAGAGTTGGCTCAGTAGTTCCTGGGGTTCTTGGTGTTGAGGTCTGTTAGGTGCTACGTGGCAGATTACTTGTTTACTTCTCGTTTCGTTGCCTGCTGGTTATCTCACGATGCTATCACTTTGAGCACTTCATCACAGTCGCTTACGAGCTCCTTTCCATAAAGTGTCTTCAGCTTCCTGTCTATTGTCTACTCACAGGTTTCGCATTCGATTGGGGGAGATTAAACATTGTATTTAGGGGGATCACCTGTGTTGTTCTCTGGACCAGCTCATATTTCTTGTTGGGTTTTAGCAGAGTCTTTAGTTCTCACGATACAAAACACTCTTTGATTAGACTGATGACCTTCCTAAGTATCAACTCATCGTACCGGTCGCATTATTCCTCAGGTGGCAGGGTGGTACCAGCCTAGCCCCTGCTTGTTACATTATATTTCTATGGTCGGAATTCTACAATGTTATTTATCGCTGTTCCCTGGGAGTTTTTGTCCTTGTGGCATTTACAGTGATTCAGTCATGTGTCTCCTCCCCCTTTCGGTAGGGATGGCTTTGACCCTGAAAATCTTACCCCCTGGTGAGGTCTTCTGTTACTGCCTGGAGTGGTGTGGGACGATTGGCTGCCAGCCACTTGTGTTGTCTGTGCGTTTGGGTTGTTCGGTTGTACATTGTGGTTGGCAGCTTCACCCACTGCAAGTGGGGCCTACCTTCTGTTTACCTGCTTCTGTTTGTTTACCCTCCCTCTTCTTATTACGTCAGTTGGGAATGCCTCTTGCCTATTGTTCAGTCTGCGCCTGTTGCTGGACCTGTGAGGCTGGCTTCAGCTGGCTCTGCTTACTCTTTCCCGACTTGGTCAGACTACAGTTCAGCTTGGTTAGATGGTGTGTCTAGTGCCAGTGCCTTCAGGTGTTGGTGCTGCCTCCTTTGTGGCTCCCAGCTGTGGCTGGTAGGCTCCTTTTCACTATACGATGTTGAGGGTTGGGGCTCTGTTGCCATGGCCAAGATCAGTGGCTGCCTGATGGAGTTAGGTATAGGCTTTCCTGTGACTATTGGATGGTTGATCTGTCTGAGGGGCTGGGGGGGCTGGATGGGCTCTATGACGCCTGGTATGTGGGGCTTGGGGGGGGCTGATTGGGGGGGGAGAGGTACCTGCGAGCACTAGTCAGGCCTGCGTCAGGTTGGGTGAGGACTAATTAAATGTTTCCAGTCTAGCTTGGGCTGTTAGGCGAAGCTGCTGAGTGCTGCAAAGCTCCCTGATAGACTGGTTGGCTGATGGCCACCTGTACAGATAGTGGGTTGCGACCTGATAATTAGACTTGTTTGGACTTTGCTTGCTGGGTTTTGTGGGGTTTGTGTCACAAATGTGGCTTGGCGAGGAAAAGGCTTTCACGTGACACATGGTTATGAGTCACAGGTATGTTATTGTTTCACACATATGACTCATTCGAGTCATATGATTTGTTATGTGTCGGATTTGTGATGCTTTTGTACGTGGCTCAAATATGAGTCATAGGACGTGCGCCTGACAAGTTTGCCTTGCAAGTACGCCTGGCGAGTGTGCCTTGTGAGTGTGCCTTACCGGTAGGCCTTGCACATATGATTTATGTTTCGCACATGACCTCGTCATAAGGTCATGGGTTTCACGCATATGACTCAGTTAAGTCGTATGACTTGTTTATTGTGTTATGATTTGTTTATGAGTTTTCGCACATGGCCTTGCTATGAGATCATGGGTTTTAAGCATGTGACCATACTGGTCAGATGACCAGTTTGTTATGATTTGGTTTTGCACATGTGACCACTTTGGGTCACATGACTACAGGTGGGAAGAACACTATATAAGTAGGCCGATGCGGCTGAGGAGGATAGGTTCTTCATACTTTATTCTAAGTACTTTTCCTACTTATTACTTTAATGAATATAAAACACCTTTACAATCTTTATCTTTATTGCACTATTATCGTTACACCAAAGAGAGCTCTTCATGAAGAAGGGTTAGAGAAAGCTTATAATAGGCGTTCCTGATAGAAGACAAAGGTCTTGTACTGTCTGTAATGTAGGCAGAGGCCTAGTGCTATAGTTAGACTAAGGAAAGAAACAGAAGAAGAGAAGTATCATTCTCTATCGCCAAGAACTAACTATCCAAGGAGGGATCGTTACAGTTTGTTTGGTTTTCTTAGTTTGGTTTCGAGTACGGTGGGAGGAGGCAAGGCACTATGGGTGGAAGATAGGCCCTACTGACCTTCTTGGTCCGTTACTACCTCTATATATTTCCTATGTTTGTGTTATTTTGTGTTTGAGGGACAGGCAGTGGGTACAGGTCCTCCTTACCAGTATGCTCCTCGGAGGCAACTGGCAAAGTGAGTTCATAGGGTTGATGGCCTGGCATGCAGGTGCGAGAGGTGGCCATCTGGGTCGCCTCCTCCCTGCCATTGTGCTGCCTGTTGGGCTAGTTTCATTTTTTGTTGGTTTTCTATTATGGTGGAGGTTTTATGGGACGGTTTGTAGACCGAGCAGTAGTGATTTTATGTTTGTTGGACGAGGAACCTCGTCTGGTTGGTCTCTTACTCATCTTCGGCTACTCTTAGTGCTGGTTGGCTTCATACCAGAGGGGCTACAGACTTGGACCGAGGTGGGCGCTGGGTTGTTTGATCATCTTGTAATTAGTTCTCGTACCAGCATGACTCGGGGATGGTAGGTGCGGGACTGTAGACTTAGTTATATTAGGATTAGTAGTATTCTGGTTAGCGGAATTCCTGTGCCGGCGGGGGCTTGTCGTATGCCAGTGTTGGCTGTACGAGTTTAAATAAAATTAGATTGAATTCTAAGTACTTTTCCTACTTATTACTTTAACAAATATAAAAACACCTTTATGATCTTTATCTCTATTGTAATATTTATCGTGACAAAGTGGAAAGCTCTTCATGGAGAAGAATTAGAGAAAGCTTATGATAGGCTTTCCCGATAGAAGACAGAGGTCTTGTACTATCGGCAACGCAGGCAGTGGCCTAGTGCTATCGTAAGATAAAGAAAGAAGAAGAAGAAGAAGAGAAATATTGTTTCCCTTTGCTAAGAACTAACCATCCGAGGAGGGATCGTTACATACACAGGTGTTGATATTCATTTGTAAATTGCTCCTCAATTAATCAGAATATTTTGAGAAACATTATTGAGACATTCACTTGAATTATTATCACTCTCATAAAGATTGTATTAGTTATTTTATTAATTTTATTTTTATATTTTTATTATATCCTAATCCCCAGTTTATTTTACAAAATAAATGCCATAAAAAAAAAAGCAACTTCATTTAAAAAAAAAGCAATTTTTATAGGTGTTCCGAACAGACCTCTCTTTTTTTTTTAAAAAAAGAGTGGACAATTGGCATAAAAGTGAGAAAAATGCCATTTTTCTTGCGTGCCGAACAGGGCCTAATAAGTGTTATTTTGCTGGAAAAATTGGTATTTAGCAAAACCACAGATTTTTAGCAATATTTTTCACCTACCCCATAATTAGTATGAAATATTTTTCTTAACCCCTATCCAACTTATCATACAAACCTGATACATTTTTTCTTTGAGGTTCAGAAAAACAACAATATTCAAACATTTTAATATATATATAGCTTATTATCGATAATATTAAGAGATAAATGTTAGGGAAGGGGTAATACTATCATAATTGTAATTATCTCTACCCTTTGGGTCAGGACATGTGATAGATATATTTGGTTTACCTTTTACCCAATACTTGTATATGGGTGAAAATCTCAAAAGATCACAATATTTTTAAATATTTTTTGGCTCGCGGAATAGGACCTTAGTTATTTTTCTATCATGTCTTTTTAGTGTATACTCGAGCAGTGTGCAAAAATGTGACTGAAGCTTGCTCGAGCACGATGGCATACTAAAACATGCTCGTGTGGCCGGGCTAGAGTTTGGCACTTTGTATGGGGGGGTTGCCACGTTAACTGCACAACTTCAATACGGCCGCACGAGTATTCCCGAGGATGACGTAGCAGGGGACACGGATTCGAGTTCAAATCCCTTGTTTTTTGAACTCTCTTCCTCTATCTCTTAATCCGCGTGCTGGTTTCTCAGGTTTTTGACGCGGAATGGGTGGCCTTAGGTTAAACCAGGATCTTCACCAAAAGGCACTCGAGTACTGTAGATTACTCGAGTAGCCGGGGAGTTGTTGCTGTGACGTGACCAGTAGGAAACATCTGTGGTGCCAGAAGCCGCGGAGGGGAACTCTGAACTATGCGGAAGCCAGCCGAGTGGGCTGCCGGCATCGTATTCTGAAATTATAATTTAAAGTGTGAGACAAAGACCGACGAAAGGATACCGTACCGGTAGTATGATAACCTTTAACCCTTTGAATCTGGATGCAAGGAGGCTATTTTGCTCTTACGATATGATAGATAGCCGCTGAAAATATTGTAGTTTACAGACTTGATCTTGTCCTCACCCCTGCAGCACCGTAGGCTAACTCACAAGCCCCCTTCACCTTTGGCCCACGGGCTCTGCTAATTTCTATGCTGTGACAGTTTAAAGATACGATAATCTACTCGAGGACTCTCTACCCACCGCTTTCCTGTTCTTGCACCCTAAATACATAACTTACTCTAGGCTCCCCGCTGCTCGTCAATAGACAAACCTTTGGTCGATCTACAGTATCCGCTGACCTGGGTGACCACTTCCCCGGGAAAAGTGACCCTGCAGTTTCTCCGTCCTTCCCCCCTGTTTTTCTTTCCTTTTCTTTTTTTCCTTCTTTTCTAGTTCCACCCGAGCTTCTACCGAGCTCCTTGCCCCCGATCTTCAGTATCTGGCGATATTCTAAGCCTTGGACAACTGGTTGCGTTATCCGGTCTTTCGACACCGCCGAGGTCTACTCGTACAGTACACCGACGGTGTCCGAGCACTTCGTGCAAACTTGGATACAGTTCCGCTCTGCCCCACTACGAAACCCCCACCCCGCACCTTTCAACCTTTGTTCGGCACGCTCCTCAACTCTTTCGCCGGAAAACTCCAGGCGTGAGCAACTGAATCCCTCGGCACTATGGAGGATGAGGATGGCCAGCAGGGGCAAGGGTAGGGATTTTGTTTTGTTTTATTTTGTTCCCAATCCCCCTTTTTCTCTTTAAAATTTGATTTTGTTTGTGTCCTCCAAGCCTTTCTCCGCTTGCTATGATAACTAACCTTTTCCCTCCCGTTCTGCAAAGACATCGCCGGACTCGGTCCGCCATGGTTTCCTTACTCGCCCCCTCTCACTCCCATCGCCAGAAATCTCACTCTCGACACGCGTCGGCTGCAGTTAGTCCTAGTTCTTCCCAACAAAATATCGAACCACTCCCGAGTGCTACGCCAGCACCAAGTGTCAAAGGCTCGGCCCGAGGTTCCGTTAAACCGGAACTCCAACCTGAAATGTCATCCTCCTCGACAGGATCCCTTGCCAACTCAGGAGTTCTGGTAGCTGGTCCTGGTGGTGGTGGGAGGACTGTGGAAGAGACGGTACGAAATTTTCGATTGTATGAGGCACTTCGATGTGGGGATACTGCCGCAATTACACGCGCAATCCGGGAGTCATCCGGGGAAAACGGAGCAAGGTCTTCCATTTCATCCTCGGTGGAGGCCTTTTCCAGTGCTGCCAAATCTTCTGTTCTTCACCTTGCTGTCCAATGTGCAGAACTTCCTGTCTTAGAGTACATACTTTCTACAACCACAACCGACCCGAATGCCGAATCGAGTCTACCATACCTGGATATCAATCAGCGAGACCCCAATACTGGCAATACCCCTCTTCATCTAGCTGCACATCTGGGCCGGACTGAAGTGGTCTCTTTTCTCCTTAAACAACCTGAAATCAACGACAGTATCCACAATTATAACAATCGGACTCCTCTTGAGGTTTCCAGAACTCCACAAATATTTCAACTGCTCCAGCTCGCAAGATCTATTTACCTCGAAGAGATCACTGAAAAGCTCTATAGCCTGATAAACCGCCAGTCTTACAGCGAAATAGAGACCCTCTTGGAGATACCGAGGGTTAAAGGATTGTTGGATCTGAATGCTCTTGAACCCCCCACAAATGGTGGGTCAACACTATTACACGATGCGGCTAGGAAAAGAGATATCAAGCTTATCGAGATATTATTGCTCCACGGAGCTGATCCTTTCCGAAGGGATAAGAAGGGGAAATTGCCACAAGACGTGATCAAAGATGAAAGGACCAGGAATGTGTTAAAGAAGAGTGAAGCTGCGAAGGCCGCTGCGAGAGGAATCGAAGAACGGGCTGTACTTGGGAGCGCAGCTGAGGCTGTCAGTGGTGCTCCCAGCATGGGGGCTGATGGGCTTTCTTCAAGCATTGGCGGGAAGGAAGGCAGGGAGACAAAAGGTTACCTCAAAAAATGGACCAACTATACTACTGGGTATAAGTTAAGATGGTTTGTCTTGGAGGATGGTGTGTTAAGTTATTACAAACATCAGGGTAATTTCGTGAATGCGAACTTTCATTGAATCTAAACTAACTATTTCTAGATGATATTGGTTCTGCCTGCCGCGGTGCGATAAATATGAGGATAGCTAAGCTTCATATGGACCCCCAAGACAAACAGCGCTTCGAAATTCACGGCAAAGGCAGTGTCAAGTACCATTTGAAGGCGAACCATGTTGTTGAAGCTAAGCGTTGGTATTGGACCCTCAATAATGCGATTCAGTTCGCCAAGGATGAGGCGCGAGAGGAAGAGAGACGGAAGCGAGGGGAGGCTGAGAAGCTGGGAAAGATTCGGGAGCAAGCGAGGGGTGGGGACGGAGAGGGGGCAGCCGACATGAGCAGGCGCGGAAGTAGGGCAGGGAGCGTAATCAGCGATATCAAGCGGGGTAATCTTCGCACAAGAGGCAGCGGCCTTGCCGAAGACGATAGCGATTCTTATGAACCCAGTGTTAGCGCACCGGGAATTCTAGTTCGTAGGGATGGCGAAGGGGTTGAAGAGGGTCAAGATATTGATGATGACGATTCATCTTCTCATGCTCAAGCTGATCCTCCTTCCTCGGACACCCTTGCACTTACGGCAAATTCTGCGAGATTACAGCTCGATTTATTATCACAAGTTGTACTTGCTCTGCAGTTTGAGCATGCTAACAACCCTGCTTTGACTCTGAGCGACCCCACTGTTTCTGCTGCCTTGACTAGCTATGACTCTGCTGTTTCTAGCTTGAAGACTCTCATTGGTGACTGCTTGGCAATGAGCAAAGAGAGGGATGCTTACTGGAGGTATAGGATGGAGAAGGAGGTTGCGTTGAGAAGGCTATGGGAGGAGAATATGGCCCTTCTCGCATATGAACAAGATGAACTTGAGGGCAAGGTTATTGGAGAGAGGCAGAGGAGGAAAAGGGCAAAGAAGGCATTAAAGGAAGCTCTTAAGAAGAGCGAGAGCATGCCTTTGAGCCCGCACGGAGAACTCCTAGGGGGTCGAGGCAAAGAGATTGAGGGTGTTGGTAGAAAGCTTGAGGAGGTGGAACTCGACAACGAAGGTCTGGCTAGAAGGGATAGCACAAACCTCCCGCTGAGTGAAGCGGTGGGCGAGGGTTTGAGTGGTAGCGACAGCGATAGTGACGCTAGTGCCGAATTCTTTGACGCTGTTGACAATGGGGAGGTTGAGGTTATGACCGAAATGCCCATGACCGTCAGGAGCCCGGGATTGCCGGAAGCCAAGGAACTCATGTCACCAATCGAGAGCACCTTAGGGGATACGAGGGAGAAAAAGCTGGACGCAATCAAGGGCAGTTTTAGAGGATACGAGGATGGTATAAGAGAGAGGTTGTCGATGGACGCAGATGATCGTCCAAAAATATCCCTATGGGTAAATCTTTTTTTTGAAATGGTCTTTGATGGAATTTTTTGGGTTGACACTGAATAGGGAATTCTCAAATCTATGATCGGGAAAGATATGACAAAAATGACGCTTCCTGTATCTTTTAATGAGCCAACTTCCCTTCTTCAACGGGTGGCCGAGGATATGGAATATACGGACCTCTTGGATCAAGCTGCTGACCGCTCTGAATCAACCGAGAGAATGGTTTATGTTGCTGCTTTTGCAGCCAGTGAATATAGCTCTACCACTAACCGTGTGGCGAAGCCATTCAATCCGTTACTGGGAGAAACCTACGAATACTGTCGCCCGGATAAGAAGTACCGGTTCTTTATCGAACAAGTATCCCACCATCCTCCTATTGGAGCCGCATGGGCAGAGGCCGAAAAGTGGGATTATTGGGGAGAGTCTGCTGTGAAATCAAAGTTTTATGGAAAGAGCTTCGATATCAACCCATTAGGAACTTGGTTTCTGAGGCTCAGAACTGCCGATGGCAGCGAAGAGCTGTACACCTGGAAGAAAGTTACTAGCTCCGTAGTTGGTATCATCACCGGGAGTCCAACAGTTGACAATTACGGACCTATGGAAATCAAAAACTGGACAACTGGGGACACTTGTCTTCTTGATTTCAAAGCACGCGGATGGAGGGGCGCAGGATACGAGGTCAAGGGACGAGTCTTGAACGGTGATGGCGTACAGGTATGGAGTATCGGCGGCCGGTGGAACGACAAGATTTATGCTCGCCTGAGTCCTGGATACGATGCCGTCATTTCACCCCAAGACGCCGTTAGTGTTGGCAGCGGTAACCCTGGATCCAACGCCGCTTTCTTAGTCTGGCAGAGCCACCCTCGCCCACCTGCTCCATTTAACCTTACTCCTTTCGCCATCACTCTCAATGCCCTACCGGAGAAGTTGAAGCCCGTCCTTTGCCCTACGGACACAAGATGGAGACCTGATCAACGTGCGATGGAAGAAGGGGAGTACGATTTCGCCGCTACGGAGAAGAATCGTCTTGAGGAGAAGCAGAGAGCTAAGAGAAGGGAGAGACATGAGGCTGGTGTCGAATACAAGCCGAGATGGTTCGAGAAGGGAACTTGCGACGTGACTGGCGAGGAGTACTGGGTTTTTAGGGGCGAGTACTGGAGGAACAGAGATGAGGTGGCGGAGGGCGGTGGATGGGTTGAAATCGAGGACATCTTTTAGAGATAAAGCTTAGACGCTGAGAGGGGTGTCTAGCCTTTTCCCTCTCTTGCACTAGACGTGCGTAATGGGGTCTGTCTTTCCTAATTGATGTGGCCGGGATTGTGGGAGACCTTTGACTTTTCTTTTCTTTTCGTTCCTCAGTAAAGGCTTCCAGGTATTTTGTAAGTGATATGGAGTAAGCCGGATACAGTATGCGGAAGGTTGCCTGGGGAAGTTTACAAAATGAGATTATTGTAGATCTGTTAACTTGCAACTTATCGCCAGTCAATCGGTCCACAATTAAAATGTCGGCGGTAGAGTGCTATACGTGCGGATGTCTTATTGAGCAGACATCTAAATGTATTCAGTTGGTTCTGCGCCCTGCTCGCTAGGCAACGAAGGAGGATGTAATGGCTATAATAAACCCATCCTAGCAATACCGATCTAGCTTCCACTAGCAAAAAAAAGAACAAGGCGAGAGGGTTAAATCCCCTCCAACTTCCTAGTCACAGGGGCTCACTCGAACTGGTTACTGGTCTAGTCCCGGACGATAGCCTCTCGCGACCCTCTAAAAAAGAATTACAATCACCCAGAACCAAAATCCCTAGCCGAAACGAATCATCCATCCTATCCAGAACACTTGCGGCATTTACCCTTTCGCGAGTGGTGTATAGTATCAACCCTCTCCACCAGTCTAATATACCCTCCCACAGTCCGAACAATTCCCATCACATCATCCTGTCCTCAGCCCATTCCAACTTCAACACCAAAGAAACTCTACATGTTGGGGTAAAGCCGGCGCACCCCGCCCAAACGCCCTCCCAAGAAATATTACAGCTTCCTCCTCCTCATATTGAGTGTAACAACATAGGTTTTATAAGGCTGTAGAGCGCCTTGCAGCCGGCTATCCCCACTGCTGGGGTCGTCATGGGCGCGCATGCCTGGCGCTGGCACGCATCACCCACCCCTCCCTCGCAGCGATGGGTACGGGCAGGAGGAAGACATACCCACAACGAACGGACCTGTACTTACTTGTTTCGCGGGTATCGGGGATGCATGTGGCAATTATGGTACCATCTTGTTGAATCTGTATTCGTGCATAACGTGCCAGCCTTGGGGCTCGAGCTGGATGGGACACTATATCCGGAGGTAGCGGTGTCGAGCACTGCCCGGTCATTGAAAAGCTCGAGAGGACTAGGACGGTCATCCAGATATCGTGCACACACTCGGTTGAGTGTGACCGCGAGCGCCTATCATGGAAATTATCATTTCCAACTTTGTCGACGCCACTCCGCAGCTTCCGGAGGAGGTAGAAGATCCACCCGGGTTGGTTAACAACCACAAATGACTTGGCTTCCCGGTCATCGGCCATAGTAATTATACCCGGTGGTCGCTGTGAGGCAGTTTGTCTGTCTGCCTGTCTTGAGAACGGATCACAGAATGCCGTCCCGCTAGGCAATCTGCCAGGCGTGGACGTCGGGCAGGCACTCCCCCACAATAGCCTTATTAATGTCTCGATTTTTTTTCTCTTTCTCCCTTTTCTTCTCTCGGAATTGAATTGTTTCCCTCCCTCAGTTGATGCTTTGGCTGAATCTACTGCCAATATATATATCGGAATATGTCACCCGTTGTATTGGGATTAAGGTATAGGAATATGCTTATATATCAGTTGCTAGCGGTCCCGTGATTGATTTCTCTAGCTGCGCAGCATCTACTTGAGATAAAGCATAATTGTGACAACATAAATCATCAATCGTGGTGTTTCAGGAATGAGATAGGGAGAGAGGAAAGAAACAATGAGAAAAGAGGGCAAGAAAGCAAACAAGCAAGCAAAAGCGACATGCATGTAAGTTAGTTGGATTATGGTACGATTAATTGATTGACCAAAACTAAGTAGCTCGCCTTTGGAAATATTGGTAAAAAAAAAAAATTGCGAGGGGGGGGATATAGAAGAACGCAACAAGTAAATTAGCTCCTTCCTTAGATTTTGTCCCAGCCCTCTTCCAACAATGGATCACTTTATCCTCTATTCATCACCACCGAAGCCGCATCATCCCCGCTTCGGGTCCGATTTTCCTTACTATATAGCAACTAGCGATCTATCGCTCCTGCATACGCCTGATAACAGCAACCTTCAGGTAGGCAGCCAGGAATTAGAGTTATAATAGTTCTCCGACATGAACGCAGTGTCACCCACAGATAATTTCCACGATTCAGATACCTCGCTAGAGCACCGACATTTCCAACGGCGGTGCATGCGTCCTCACCGGCTTCGACAGCAGCATTTCCCCGCAAGCGGCTTTTCGTCGAGGGGAACACTGATGAACTGCAAGGTCTGCGTTGAACCTGTGCGGGAGTCAACACACATCGGGGTATACACGGCGCTTTGGGAAACAGCGGTAATGCACAGGGCCATGGTTATGGTGGATGGTTACGGGGCGGGGGACTGAGAATAGTAAGGTGTTTTATTATTGTATCTGTCTTGCGGGTTTGGGGGGATACGTAAATAGCTATTGTGCGACTTTGATGATATTGTGCGTGGACAAAATTAACCGCGATTCAACAGAGGAAAATCTTCGGTGATGACAACCACACTCACCCACCAATCCACTATCATGAAAACCAAAAATTAAAATTAAAAGATGTAAATACATAGTAGAAATTAATATTTGGTATACTATCCATCAGCCTTAATAATTGCCTCAATTCTATCCACCATTGATCCAGCTAAAGTATCAAAAACCTTTAGGTCAAGAAGTTCCCAACAATGAGTGATGGCCTCTACTATTGCCTTCTTGACCACATTGACATCACCCTTCATAAGATATAGCTCAGGGTAGTGCTTGTGAAGCTTACCTTTCACCAGAGACCAAATATTTTCAATTGGATTGAGATCTGGTGAATAGGCAGGAATTTCCATCAGTGTAATTCCCTGCCCTCTGAGCCATCTCCTAAAAGACAAGTGAGTCTTAGCATAGTCAATGATAAAAAATACCTCTTCTTCTCCAGCCTTTTCTCTGATATTCTCCCATATCCCTAGAAAGTCATAATAATCATAAACATTAATAATTGACTTCCCAGTAACTCCACCCCTAGCAGAAGAAGGATCAGGAAAAACATGCAAAAAAAGACCATGAGTTTGACTATAAAAGCAACCAGTCATCATCTGGTTAATCCCTCTCTCCCTTCTCCTAGCCTTAGGTTCAACACAATCTTTATTCTATTTCTCATATGGGTATCTGAAAACCCATTTTCTCCTCTTTCCTCCTCCCCTTTCCACAGCTACCTCATCCCTCCACATTGCCTTCCTTCTCCACATCTCCTTTATCCAATGCCTATGAGCCAATGCCCATTCCAAACTCTCTTGAGCTAGATCCTCATCCAAATGAACTCTCTCTTATGCCATCCACTTTCTAAGATGCTTTTTTTCAAGTCTTCTCCTTACTGTCCTACTAGAAACATTGGGAGCAACTTGCTTAGCAATGTCAGAATAGGTAGTATGGCGATTTTTAACAGCTTCCTCCACCATAACATTATCCTGTGACTTGGTAGTTTTAGGATATTTTTCTCTACCCTTATTCTCCTTGCCCTCTTGATGTCTCTTTGCAATTGTGTCTCTGACAGTAGTGTAGGGAATTTTAAAGTAGTGGGAAATTTGCTGATATCTCATCTGAGGCGTGTGTAACTCCAGAATCCTCCCCCTGGTAGGCTCAGAGAGGTGTGTGGAGAGAATAGGTATTTTGGCATGACTGCGAAGAATAGGAGGCATAGTTTATTGAAAAAAAAAGAATTGTGCAGAATGGTTTCTTCTTGGTTGACTTAGAGCAATTTTTTTAGGTACTGTTGAGAGTACGGGGTGATGAAGAGGGGTGGGTTGCCACCGATTGTTGAATCACAGTTAATTTTGTCAACGCACAATATATTCGATTGAAGCTATTCACTCTGCCAGCGGCCGTCACTCGCAGTCCCATACAGTCCCTCTCGGTCTCCAATAGTTGCCCAGTGTTCCCTCGTGCGCACCTGACGCCCCTATATTAATCATGTCTAGAGTCGTCAGGCTTGTAATCCATCATTAAAGCGGTGGTCTTTTTGGTCCTTTAGAACGTGAGGAAGACAGCTTATATGGTCTAGTCCGGTCTAGGACACATGACAGTCCGTCCCCCCCCCGGGAACCCTCAAATCCCATGAAAAAACCCCTATGCAGTATACATACTGAAGTCTATGATATCCCGGCCCATCACCTCACTCGCTATACAATACCTCCTTCGCCCCTCCAGTTGACCTACTCATCCCCACATAAGTTCCGATACCCCCCCTACCCAAACCAAAAAAAAACCAAAAAAAAACATTTCATACTAAATGATTTCAGCAATTGCAAATCATAAGCTCCTACAATCCGGTGCTGTAAAATCTTTCTTTTTTAAAACCTTTCCATTTCGGAGGACAATTTGCCCTCGGGTGGGCGAATAGGTCTGGAAGGGAGATGAACCCGCATCTGCCAACCGTCTCAGGGTATACCGATAGTTATGATATTATGATTGGAATGCCTTGATCCCCATCACGTTCCGGGAATTCGTGGTAGTTTACCCCCCCCCCCCCATCCCCTCCCACCGTCCGAAATCACGCACAGTTTTGGAAAAACAGTTCAAGCGACGAATCGGAGTTATGTGATGCTTACCTACCCATCTGTATTGTAGGCCTGGCTGTTTGTTGGTGGCCCTAGCTAACCAACTTACACTGACTGTTCCGGTAACTCATGACATCTGGCTAAAGCATGGTATATTTTCATTAGAAAATAAATAATAATAATTCTTGCCTTAATAGGTATTATATACATATTATCTTCCCGAATTTTTCGGTATTTCCACACATCACCCCCTCCCCATCCTTATTTATATACCTCATGAAATTGTTTAGCTTTTATACAAAGCCTTGCGATGACTCCCATGGGGTCCACTGTGTAAAACTACCGTAACTCTAGTTATCGACACAAGTTAGCTTATTTAGCTCCAGTCCAGTTCGTACGGTTACTACTATACAAGTTTGGAAAAGAAACCGATAGGGGTGAACAGGCCTTTGACAATTCCGATTTGCCCCCCTCCCCCTTCCCCCCCTTTCTGTGAATCTTGCTTGGACATTCTACAGCTCAATCATGCATTTGTGCTGTTCAGCGGTTACGGCGTGTTCGCGGGTGACGGGATCGAAGGGAGGGGGATGTTGTGATTGCAGGTGACTCTGTAGATATCATACTGATAGCCTTTTTTTTTTTTGTCGAATAAAGTTTCCATATTCCCCGATAATATTATTAGGTGTTATATATTTACTAGTGGGGGGGGGAAGCATTAAAATTGCAGCAATTTCCTAGAAAGTTTATACTCTCCACTATGATACATAAAGGATCTACTGTAATTCGAGAAATGTCTCTTCTCCCCTATCATATGATACCACTCTTCCATCGGGACGAAATCCCTAAACCTTCCTCTCCTTCCTCCGATCCTATAGTGCTCCCCATAACCCTACTTACTAATTTTCTCTCATACCGGCAAGTCAAAACGTGCGTCCTCCCCGGCATCCCAACCCCGACTTCTTTCTTCATGTGGGAAGCACGACCCCCGGGCGAAATCTCCCACGAGGATGTCAGCTCCGCCACCGCCATGGTAGAACCCTGATATCCAGTTTCCCCCCTCTGGCGCACTGGGGTTAAAATTCGACCCTTCCGACCTCCTCTACGTAGCCGGCATGATATCATAGCTCCCCCGGCAGTGTATGGTATCAATATACAACGCCATCTCGGGCGCTCCAACCATCCGTTTCTATAACCCCATCGCCGGCTCGGACCTCAACGACATGGCGATGGCGATCGGTGGGGATGTGACGGCCTATAGCACACCACCGACACATTTCTGCTGGACATGTTCTGTATATGCCCCGAAGCGGTCGTCAGCGGTGGTGGCGGCGATAGGATGCTGGAGAGGTTTCCAGTGCTGGGAAGATGGATTGGTGTGGGGGGCATAGCGCTTGTCTTTCTTTCTCTACCCCCCGTCTCTTCCCCTTCTCACTCGCCCTAGAGTCACGCTTCACGGAGGATGATTTGCTCGTTGCCAATCTTCAAATCATATCACAAAGCAGAATCACAGCTTACCATTTACCCTTACTAGGCTGCCGGCATATATTAGGTTGCCCATGTGGGAGGGCTTATTTATTTGTTTGTTATGATATCACATCTGGTGGGGGTTTGGTTGCTCAGACTTTAGGGAATGTTTTACCCGGAATTTTTTCTCGGGAGTATGGTATCTCGCTTTGCATAGCGCGAGTTTCCCTTTGAGTTCGTGGCGCGGCTTGGGATCCTTGAGGAATGCAGTGGAGAGCGAAGAATTTGGGGTCCTTGGCCATGAGATCGAGCTTTTGACTCAGTGTTTGATCGAGTGACTATATGTGATTGCAGCTCCCCTAAATCACGGACGGACATTCGTCGGCAACATTTATCAGTCATAAACAAGTTTAGTATTTTCAATTTCTCCCTCCTATGTCAAGGACAGTATATGTTTACGCTTTATCCGTGACTTCGAGTTTAGTATTTGGCGTCATTTTCTCCCCCGGAGCGCCTCCGGTCATGACACCCCCGGCACCACTTTCCGAGCCCTCCTCCGAAGCACGGTTAGAAGCTGGGGTTTTCATGAGCGGGTAGTGTCCCCTTTTTTCGCGGAACAGCATCAATATAAATCCCAGAGAGACTATAATCCAATAGATGTTATACGAAAGGATGGAGCCATATGTAGCGGTATTTTGCCATCCGAGGACTTTTCAATTAGCACAGGGACCGAACCGGGGTGCATGGGACTTACTAGCATTGAAAATACCCCAGCCAGCGCCACCTCTGGAGCCCGGCGAACAGCAATTGACATGCCAGACTGTATTTCTGATATCATACGATCCAGGACCCGAGCCGGTCTCACCTACATCTCCCCCAACAAGTTTTTTGAACTACTCACTTTTAGCATTCCGCCCACTCGTGACGCAAACCAGGATACGAACCTCATACATCTCGAACTTCCAAACCGCTCTAGATCCCAACCCCGCAGCAACCAAATACAACAACATGGTGCTCGCGATTAAAAACCACTGGATCCTTAGCGAATTACCCCCGCGGTAAATCCCCCAACTAACCGCAACTCCCGCCACCATGCCAATAACGACCGGCAAGGGATACGAACTAGCCGGCGCGGACAGTGAGACTCCACCAACGAAGACAATAGCTTCCAGACCCTCGCGAATTACGGTTACAAAGGGAAGGATTATCATAACATATTTTTTCATCCACGAGCCGAGGGTTCGGCTCTTTTTCAACTCGAGGGCTTCGGTGATTTTGATTTGCCATTTTGCACGGAGTTTAGAGATGCGGAGGATTGCGGCACCCATTATCTACTTATCATGGTTAGGCTTCCGCTCTGCTTTGTTTGGTTGTAGACGGCCCGGGGTGGAAGGGGGAGGGGACAAACAGTGATAATGATACAAGCCAGCAAACAAAATATCCCCTCCCAGAGATCTTCACCCTGCTCCCAAAGGTTCTTGCCAATGCTGTAGAATGCGCCAATGAATGCTGCTCCTAACACCAGACATATGAAGAGACCGGCGAAGAGACCGATCCAGACTTGACGGGTCAAGCGTTTGTAGATTGCTTCGTCCTCCGTGCCTAAGGTTTGCTTAAGGAATGCGAGGAGGACGGAAACTATAATTCCGGCTTCAATTGTTTCGCGGAAGACTACGAAGAATACTGTGGCTTGTGAGCTGCTGTCTGTTGGGTAGGGGTGCGTTTCTGGTTGGGTCTCGGGGAGAGCGTGAAATATGGGGTATTGTAACGGTGGGACAAAAGAGAAGGAGAGGGTTACCTGGAACTGCGAATACGTTTGACATCTTGGCTTCTTTGCAAAGTCCAAGGACTTTTGTCTAAGACTGTAGGAATGGGTGTATCCACGGAGGGGAAGGAGAAAAGGTGGATAATTGACTTCAAAGGGAGGAGCGAAGAAAGTTCAATTGATCCAAAAAGGAACTGCAATGTTATGTACTCTGCAGTATGCCGAGAGGCCCTGGGACTCGTTCAATCATGCTACCGCACTGCACTTGTACTGCACCCCCCACCCCGTAAAGCCAAATGCCAAATGCCAAATGCGCGAGGAAGAAAAGTGATACCGCTGACCCCCAAGCCAAATAAATTAATTACCCCTCCCTTCTACCAATGCTCCGGGAGTGCAGTACTGTACCGGGGAGTACCGGCACTCCTGAATACCCGCGAGGGTTGGGAGTGCGGTCGACGCTCATTCCTCCATTCCCTGCACGGAGAAAAAGAAAGAAAACGGCGTGGGGAACCAGGATCAAACCGGCCGCTCCACCGAGTCAGGTCTCGTTGTCTGAAGAACTGATCTGATCTGATCAGACAAGATTGATTTGATTATTGGAAATTTATCTTATCAATTGAATCGAAAGCTGGATATAAGATCGGAGGGCTCTTATAGGATAATAATGTGGGTGTGAAAGTGAGGCGTTTTTAGTAGAGCCAACTTCGTATCATAGCATATTGGAGGGGGAAGGTGATGTGATGGGGGAGGAAAGGTTGAGGACCGCCCAACACAGAGCGCTGGTTATCCGGTACTTACTCGGGTGGATAGGGGTACCGTTCTGTGTTTCTTTCTTGCAACAGACCGCAATTCCTATAAATACGCCTATATCCCGTACAGAGGGGTCGGGCTCTTGAAGAAGGCTTCTTACAGATAAGCTCCCTTGGCAACACAGCTTCTCTCTTAGCGGGGGAGTCGCTCATAACTTGCTGTATATTATGTATGATACTTGCAATTTTCACGGCAAAAGAGCGAGGTATCTTAATTCGGTTCTCCTCTGAATACCTGGGATCGGAAAAGGGAGCTGGAGGGGGGCGCAATCGGGTCATCTGATAATTCTCTTCCTCCCCCCCAATGATTTGTCTTAGATAACACACAATCAAAAAGACCAGGACATCATTTCGTTTTGAAATGCTTTTTCTCTCCCTCCCCCTCTCCCTCCTTTGCACACTCCCCTTCCACTACGCCATGCACCTCCCCCTCTTTTGATCAAGGGTTTGATCCGCGATAACCATACACTAACGACAACTGTATCATCAGATAATGGCGCCACGGAGTTGCCATGCCCCCCCCACAAAGAACCGTCTCTGAATTTGCTTCTTTTTCAACTCCTCAACCATCGTCGATTACTTGGTAAGTCAGGAAGGGAAGAAAAAAGGGAAAAGAGAATCACTTTTACCCCTTGGTCTCTTTGAAACAGTCAAATTCGTAGCTAGGCATACCGGTACCAAGCCCGTCCTGGAACAAGTTGAGTATTGTGATTTGGTGCCAAGAGCGCTGTGTAATTTGAACGCCCAAAAGTCTGAGAACCCGATCCTCTGACCAAGTTCAACTAACTGTTGCCAAATCTGGCCTAAGCGCGCCTGGCTACGAATTTGACTGTTTTAGAGGGACCAAGAAGGCTCCAAGTACTCGTAGAGGGGGGGGAGTTGGTGGAGCCACAAATTTACAACATTTTATTTGCAGTACGAATTGGACAGGCTTATTTCGTGGAGCGGACTTGTATGAAAGGTGAAAAATTGATGGGAATACTGGGGGCACCCCACTCAGCTCTGTCCATTGCCGTCAACGTGCTGGCTTGAGCCCCTTTTCCCCCTAGTCCGCAAAGGCAATTCCAGTCACACCACTATTCCTCGCGGTTCCCAGTCCCAAATCATATCGATAACTTTGGGGTACCAAGTTCCCGGCTATTCTCACCTGCTCCTGCTATGTTACAATGACTTGCATGGCCAGTGTTTAACTCCGGTATTAAGAAGCACCTTCTCCCAACCCCCCAACACAAGGCAAACATTCCCAATGCTCTCTCCACTCCCCCTGATATTGGCATTATTATTCCCGGCCACCGCAGTTCTCGCGGCTACCGTGACCTACGACTTCAATATAACATGGACCACAGCGAACCCTGATGGTCTCTTCCCGAGGCGGACCATGGGAATTAACGGGAAATGGCCTATACCTACCATTGAGGTGAATAAAGGTGACAGACTGATAGTTAATATGCACAATGGGTTAGGAGACCAGATTACCAGCCTTCATTTTCATGGTATTTTCCAGAATGGCACGAGTTATATGGATGGGCCGGCCAAGGTTACCCAATGTCCGGTCGCTCCGGGACAAAGTTTTAAGTATGATTTTGTGGTCAGTGTATTCACTTCCTTCCCTCTCCCGGCCCCCAAACTTGGACTAAAGGCTCCGGCGAAAACAGGTGAACCAACCAGGAACCTATTGGTACCACTCCCATGTGAAGGGCCAATACCCCGACGGCCTTCGTGGAGCCCTGATAGTGCATGACAACGACTCACCCCACAAATCCCTCTACGACTCAGAAGTAGTGCTGACATTCTCGGACTGGTATCACGAGCAAATGCCGAAACTCATATCCCGCTTCCTCTCCGTTGCAAACCCCACGGGGGCAGAACCAGTCCCGCAATGCGCGCTCATAAACGAAGTTCGGAATGCCAAGATCAAAGTAGAACCTGGGAAAACGTACCTTTTCAGGATGATCAATATTGGGGCGTTTGCTGCGCAATATGTTTGGTTTGAGGGCCACACTATGAGGGTTGTGGAGGTTGATGGTGTTTATACAAAGCCGATGGAGGCAGGGATGCTATATTTGACGGCCGCTCAGAGAGTTTCTGTGCTGATAACCATGAAAAATAGTACGGGGGATAATTTCCCGTTTGTGGGGAGTATGGATCAGGTATGGTGCTGCTTCCAAAGTATTTGAGAGTGTGTTGCTAATGGGGGGATAATAGGATCTCTTCGACCAAGTTCCCAAGGGTCTGGATCCAAATGTGACCGGCCACCTCGTATACTCCGACTCGAATAAGAACCCTCCGGCAAAAGAAATCCCAGAATTCAACCCTTTCGATGACTTCCTGTTAGAACCCGAAGACGGGGAGGCCCTCCTGGAAAAACCGGACTACTCGTTCAACCTGGATGTAGTAATGGACAACCTCAATGATGGAGCAAATTAGTACACCTCTCCCTACGTTCCTATCGGCGGATCATGTACTAATATGCCCAGCGCCTTCTTCAATGAGATAACCTACGTAGCGCCCAAAGTGCCAACACTCTACACCGCACTTTCTGCGGGCGAGCATGCCACGAATCCCGCGATATATGGCCGTGACACAAACTCGTTCGTCTTGAAACATAATCAGGTCATTGAGATCATCCTAAACAATTTGGATCCAGGAAAACATCCCTTCCATCTTCGTAGCTGCCCCGTTCATTCCCTCCACCTAAGGATCGATTTCCACTAACAGTGCTAGACGGCCACAACTTCCAACTCGTCCACCGCAGCCCGGACGACTCAGGACCCTATAACTCCACATCCCTTCAAAACCCTCCCAAGATCCCAATGCGTAGAGACGTAGTTCTTGTGCGACCAAACGGCAACTTGGCCCTCCGTTTCCGCGCAGATAATCCAGATATGTCCCCCACCACCCCCCTCCCCCGCGCTTTTCCTTGCTCTAGCTAATATCCCACACGGGTCTGGCTCTTCCACTGCCACCTAGAGTGGCATATGGTCAGTGGCCTCTCCGCAACCATGGTCGAAGCCCCACTAGAAATGCAAAAGAGCATGAAGATACCGGGTGATCATATAAGCCAGTGTAAAGGCGCGGGTTTACCGACCGAGGGGAATGCAGCGGGTAATACGGACTTCTTGGATCTACGGGGGGAGAATCGGTCGCCGGGGAGGTTGCCGTCTGGGTATGCTTCCCCCTCATCTATTGAATTCTTGCATTTTGGGCGGGGCGCTGATGGCTAGTAGATTTACCGCGAGAGGGATAATGGCGCTGGTCTTCAGTTGTATTTCCGGGATTTTGGGATTGGTGGTTATTGCTTGGTATGGTATGGCCGAGATCAAGTCTTGAGTGGGGTTTTTTTTGTTTTGGCAAGAGCGGTTAGCAGTCCTTGTTTCTTTCTCTCTCTCTTTCTTTTTGATCATATACGAGCATATACCCAAAATTAATGGAAGTTATGCGGCATCAGTATAAGAGCATTGTCGTGATGGGTAGAGTACAGTGTGCGTTGTGTGTAGCTTGTAAAACATTCGCTATGAGCAATGCATTTTGTAACTCTCTCTTGTTATGTGATAGTATGTTAACGGGTTGAGATATCCAGGGTTATAACTAGGCAATGACAAAATATAGTATCATCTGTTATATCCTCAGTAACCTTCACAGATTCTCACTCGAATACGTATTAAATTTCATCCGGTGCATGATGCTATTGTGCGTGGACAAAATTAACCATGATTTAACAGAGGAAAATCTTTGCAGATGACAACCACACTCACCCACCAATCCACTATCATGAAAACCAAAAAAAAAATTAAAAGATGTAAATACATACTAGAAATTAATATTTGGTATACTATCCATCAGCCTTAATAATTGCCTCAATTCTATCCACCATTGATTCAGCTAAAGTATCAAAAACATTTAGATCAAAAAGTTCCCAACAATGAGTGATGGCCTCTACTATTACCTTCTTGACCACATTGACACCACCCTTCATAAGATATAGCTCAGGGTAGTGCTTGTAAAGCTTACCTTTCACCAGAGACTAAATATTTTCAATTGGATTAAGATCTGGTAAACAGGCAGGAATTTTCATCAGTGTAATTCCCTGCCCTCTGAGCCATCTCCTAAAAGGCAAGTGAGTCTTAGCATTGTTAGTGATAAAAAACACCTATTCTTTTCTAGCCTTTTCTCTGATATTCTCCCATATCTCTAGAAAGTCATAATGATCATAAATATTAATAATTGACTTCCCAGTAACTCCATCCCTAGCAGAAGAAGGATCAGGAAAAACACCCAAAAAAAGACCATGAGTTTGACTATAAAAGCAACCAGTCATCATCTGGTTAATCCCTCTCTCCCCTCTCCTAGCCTTAAGTTCAATACAATCTTTATTCCATTTCTCATATGGGTATCTGAAAACCTATTTTCTCCTCTTTCCTCCTCTCCTTTCCACAGCTACCTTATCCCCCCAAATTACCTTCCTTCTCTCCATTTCCTTTGTCCAATACCTATGAGCTAATGTCCATTCCAACATCTTTTGAGCTAGATTCTTATCCAAATGAACTCTCTCTTGTGCCATCCACTTTCTAAGTTGCTTTTTTTCAAGTCTTCTCCTTACTGTCCTACTAGAAACATTAGAAGCAACTTGCTCAGCAATGTCAGAATAGGTAGTATGGTGATTTTTAAGAGCTTCCTCTACCATAACATTATCCTGTGACTTGGTAGTTTTGGGATGTCTTTCTCTACCATTATTCTCCTCACTCTCTTGATGTTCCTTTGCAATTGTGTCTCTGACAGAAGTGTAGGGGATATTAAGATAGTGAGAAATTTGCTGATATCTCATCTGAGACTTGTGTAATCTGAGAATCCTGTCACGAACGTGGCTTAGCGAGGAAAGGGTTTTCACGTGATGCATAGTTATGAGTCACAGGTATGTTATTGTTTCACACATATGACTCATTCGGGTCATATGATTTGTTATGTGTGGGATTTGTGATGCTTTCGCACATGGCTCAAATATGAGTCATGGGACGTACATAGGGCGAGTGTGCCTTGCGAGTGTACCTTGCGAGTATGCCTTGCAGGTAAGCCTTATGCATATGATTTATGCTTCACACATATGACTCGGTCGAGTCATATGATTGGTTTATTGCGTTATGATTGGTTTATGAGTTTTTCGCACATGACCTCACTATGAGGTCATGGGGTTTGAACATATGACCATGTTGGTCACATGATTAGTTTGTTATGATTTTGTTTCGCACATGTGACCACTTTAGGTCACATGACTATGGGTGGAAGAACACTATATAAGGAGGCCGATGCGGCCGAGGAGGATAGGTTCTTCACGCTTTGTTCTAAGTACTTTTCCCACTTATTACTTTAACAAATATAAAACACCTTTACGATCTTTATCTTTACTGCGATGTTATTGTTACGCCAAGGAAGGTTCTTCATGAAGACGAGTTAGAGAAAGCTTACGATAGGCGTTCTCGATAGAAGACAAAGGTCTTGTACTATCGGTAACGTAGGCAGAGGCCTAGAGCTATCGTAAGACAAAGAAAGAAAGAGAATGAAACAAGAAGTATCGTTTCCCATCGCCAAGAACTAACTATCCAGAGAGGGATCGTTACATTACAAAGCGTTACCTAGTGCGACGCCAAACGATACAAGACGGCATCCTTCAACCCAGACAGGGAAGGAGATATTGACATCGACGATCAAAATCTTAATCTAGGAGGATTCAGCGATGCCCTAGATCACGTCTCAGCAGAACCCTCGAGAGCAGCAAGCCCAGTAACCCCAGAGAAAGGATCACTAGTCGATAGCTCTCCTGCTGGAACTCCACGACCTGAGAGAATATCGGGATCTGCAGTACCTGGGCCACCGGCCCCAGCCGTTCCGGCACCAGGAACTAGTATACTTGGGATGACTGAAGATCAGTTTCAGGCATTTCTCGCAGCAACAAGAAACACAGGACAAGGCAACATCCAACAACCAAAAGCAAAGGAGCCTGACACATATGAAGGAGCCGAAGATAAGCTACGAATATTCTTAGCGCAATGCGAGGGATATTTTGCCGTTAAGGGATACGGAGATTACCATGATGAAATTAAGATTCCATATGTGGAATCTCTACCCAGAGGACTTGTGGGATAATGGATCATGCCCTTCCAAGATGGAAGGAAGTAGAGAGAATAGGTCACATACGAGGAGTTCAAGGCAATACTCTTCGAGCAATTCGGAGATCTAAATGCCCAAGAAACCGCAAGACGAAAGCTGAAGAAACTCCAACAAGGAAAACAAACATTCTCGGCATATTGGAACGAATGCAGGCTACTGGAATACGAGGCTGAATTTGATGATGCTACTCTCTATATCATCCTCCTGAGAAACTGCAGCGAGAGACTCCGAGATGCATGGGGAATCTCAGACTTGCGCTATACCACTGTAGAACGATTTGCAAGATGGGCGATTGATAAGGACAGCAAACTAAACATGGTTCGAAGCAACTCAGAAAACACTATCGCACATAGGGTGGTCCAATCATCCAGGAATGTGGATGGGACCTTCAAACCACAAGCAGCTCGTGGAGAAAGTCGAGCATTACCACCAGGCGAGCCAATGGAATTAGACAAGTCAAGAGCAGGACCTGCTTTGAACCTGTCTAAGGAAGAATACACTAGAAGAATGAACGGGAAACTCTGCCTGAGATTCGGAAAAGCAGGACATCGGATACGAGAATGCAGAAGTCGACCCGATAGCGGATACCAAGGGACCAGAGCTGCTGGAAATAATCGTTTCCAAAGTCAAAAGAGGAGCAACATTCGTGAAATGATTGCAGAAGATTCACTGGCGGAAATCGACGAGGGTCCCCAGTAAACGGTGGTCTGGGAGACCCAAGATGTGGACCTAGAAAACCCATCAAGATAGCGAACTACTACATAGTACTACACACGCAAAGAGGAGAGAGAGATGGAGATCATGTGATAATCAAAACAAAGATATACAATAAAGAAAATGAAGAAACAACAATATATGCAATGCTCGACTCTGGAGCTACCGAAGACTTCATTGACAAAGAAATCTGCGACAAATACGGCCTCCATACTAAACAAGCAAAGAAAACAAGACAAGTCTACCTCGCGGATGGAAAGCTAAGCACTATGGGTCCCATAACCCATACGACGACAGTACCTATGGACATTGACAGCCATAGAGAAACGGCAACCTTCCAGGTGGCAAATCTTAAAAACCATGAGATAGTCCTAGGGATGCCATGGTTAAGAAAGCACAATCCGACAATCAATTGGAACGAGAATAAAATGACCATTACCAGCGAACTATATGCGACACAATGTCTCAATAGTTCACCTGTGGTTTACTCGACACCAATACGAGAAGCGGAAGAAGAAACTTTGCATGCAAAGTTTAATGAGATACGGCAAGATAAGAGAGTCGGGATACGAAGACTGGACCAAGAGGCAAGAGTGCCTACCAAGGGTTCCAAAGGGGCAGCAGCACACGACCTGTATGCCAACGAAGAGATCAAGATACCTGCCAACGGACAAGCAATGATAAAGACAGGAATAGCCATCGGACTACCAGAAGGCACCTATGGACGGATAGCACCCCGCAGTGGTCTAGCAGTCAAACATCGACTCATGACCATGGCAGGGGTGATCAATGTCGACTATACAGGAGAAGTCAAAGTGATCCTAGCCAACCTGGCTCAAGAGGACTACCAAGTCCAAAAAGGCAATCATATCGCACAGTTGATAATCAAAAAAATCAACAATGAGGATCTACACGAAGTAGATCAACTGGAAGGAACCACAAGAGGAGAAAAGGGATTTGGAAGCACAGACCAAAACCAGCCCGATACAACAACAAGAATTGTGATCAAGGAAATCACAGCACAAGCCTTTGGGAGGTACTATCGAAGAGGAGATACCACAGGAATTATCAAATAGACATACGAAGACGAAAAAGCAGTCCTAGCAAAAATCAATATCAGCACAGAGCTAGCAATCCAGGATAAGAAATACCAAAGCAAAAAGGGATGGAAAGAATTGGTTCCAAAAGAATACCATCAATTCACGAACCTATTCTAAGAAGAGGAAGCTACAGGGCTACCACCTCAAAGACTAGGAATCGATCACGAAATTCAGCTGGACAAAGACGAAAAAACAGGAAAAACAAAGGAAATTCCCTACAAAAAGTTATACCCACTAGGAGAAGCAGAGCTCGAAGAACTTAGGAAGTACATCGAGCAAAACTTAAAGTGAGGATGGATCAGGGACTCTTTCGCATCAGGGGGATCGCCAATATTATTCGTCAAGAAGAAA